TTTTTAGTTCCTCTTCATTTCCTGCCATAAGGGTGGTGTCATCTGCATATCTGAGGCTATTGATATTTCTCCCGGCAATCTTGATTCCAGCTTGTGCTTCTTCCAGCCCAGCGTTTCTCATGATATACTCTGCATATAAATTAAATAAGTAGGGTGACAAGATACAGCCTTGACGGACTCCTTTTCCTATTTGGAACCAGTCTGTTGTTCCATGTCCAGTTCTAACTGTTGCTTCCTGACCTGCATACAGATCTCTCAGGAGGCAGGTCAGGTGGTCTGGTATTCCCATCTCTTGAAGAATTTACCACAGTTTATTGTGATCCACACAGTCAAAGGCTTTGGCATAGTCAATAAAGCAGAAATAAATGTTTTTTCTGGAACGCTCTTGCTTTTTTGATGATCCAGTGAATGTTGGCAATTTGATCTCTGGTTCCTCTGCCTTTTCTAAAACCAGCTTGAACATCTGGAAGTTCACGGTTCACGTATTGCTGAAGCCTGGATTGGAGAATTTTGAGCATTACTTAACTGGTGTGTGAGGTGAAAGCAGTTGTGTGGTAGTTTGAGCATCCTTTGGCATTTCCTTTCTTTGGGATTGAAATGATATTGGTGATAGAATATTGAAGTTATTGGAATAATTGGAATTATTGGTGATAGAAGCAAGGTCCAGTGATGTAAAGAGCAATATTGCATAGGAACCTGGAATGTTAGGTCCATGAATCAAGGCAAATTGGAAGTGGTCAAAGAGGAGATGGCAAGAGTGAATGCCGACATTCTAGGAATCAGCAAACTAAAATGGACTGGAATGGGTGAATTTAACTCAGATATCCATTATACCTACTACTGTGGGCAGGAATCCCTTAGAAGAAATGGAGGAGCCATCACTGTCAACAAAAGACTCCAAAATGCAGTACTTGGATGCAATCTCACAAACAACAGAATGATCTGTGTTCGTTTCCAAGGCAAAGCACTCAGTATCACAGTAATTCAAGTCTGTGCCCCGAGCAGTAATGCTGAACAAACTGAAGTTGAACAGTTATATGAACACCTTCAGGACCTTTTATAACTAACACCCCAAAAGATGTCCTTTTCATTATAGGGGACTCGAATGCAAAAGTAGGAAGTCAAGAGACACCTGGAGTAACAGGCAAATTTGGCCTTGAAGTACAGAATGAAGCAGGGCAAAGGCTAATAGAGTTCTGCCAAGAGAAGACACTGGTCATAGCAAACACCATCTTCCAACAACACAAGAGAAGACTCTACACATGGACATCACCAGATAGTCGACACTGAAATCAGATTGATTATATTTCTTGCAGCCAAAGATGGAGAAGATCTATACAGTCAGCAAAAACAAGACGGAGAGCAGACTGTGACTCATATCATTAACCCCTTATTGCCAAATTCAGACTTAAATTGAAGAAAGTGGGGAAAACCACTAGACCATTCAGGTTCAGGTATGACCTAAATCAAATCCCTTATGATTATACAGTGGAAGTGGGAAATAGATTTAAGGGACTAGATCTGATAGAGTGCCTGATGAACTATGTATGGAGGTCTGTGACATTGTACAGGAGGCAGGGATCAAGACCATCCCCAAGAAAAAGAAATGCAAAAAAGCAAAATGGCTGTCTGAGGAGCCCTTATAAATAGCTGTGAAAAGAAGCAAAGCGAAGAGCAAAGGAGAAAAGGAAAGATATACCCATTTGAATGCAGAGTTCCAAAGAATAGCAAAAAGAGATAAAAAGGTCTTCCTCAGTGATCAATGCAAAGAAATAGAGGGAAACAAAAGAAAGGGAAAGACTTGAGATCTCTTCAAGATAATTAGAGATTCCAAGGAAACATTTCATGCAAAGATGGGTTTAATAATGAACAGAAATGGTATGGAGCTGACTGAAGCAGAAGATATTAAGAAGAGGTGGCAAGAATACACAGAAGAACTGTACAAAAAAGATCTTCACGACTCAGATAATCACTATGGTGTGATCACTCACCTAGAGCCAGGCATCCTGGAATGTGATGTCAGGTGGGCCTTAGGAAGCATCACTGCGAACAAAGCTAGTGGAGGTGATGGAATTCCAGTAGAGTTATTTCAAAGCCTAAAAGATGATGCTGTGAAAGTGCTGCACTTAGTATGCCAGCAAATTTGGAAAACTCAGCAGTGGCCACAGGACTGGAAAAGTCAGGTTTCATTGCAATCCCAAAGAAAGGAAATGCCAAAGAATGCTCAAAAAAGTCATTCATATTAGAGTCTTCAAAACACCACAGGTATAGGAAAGAATGAAGCTGTTATGTAGATAGCGTTTCCAATAATCTACCACCCTTTCCCAAAACCAAAAAATAAAAGTTTATTCCCCTTTAGGTTTCTGTGTCCAGGGATGTGCTGAGTTCTTAAGAGACCAGTCAGGCAGGTGTTAAGAATGTAAATGAGATTCTTCTGTCTCTTCCATTTTGGGGTTAAAATTCTGACTCTGAAGAAGACTATATGAATTTATCACAAAGCCAAAATTACATTTATCTTTCATAACACCTATGATGATTACTTTATGATTCACACACTAAAAAAAATGCCTAATTAGAAATGCCTTTGGTCACTTTATAGCTAAACTGACTGACATGTTGCACAAAAGCAAATCTGAGGTATGGAAGGAAGTTTACTTAGTCGTGAGTTGCTAACAGATACTCATGTTCCTGAGTTCGTTGGCAAATATCATTGGCTGTTTTTCTTTAAAAAAGGAAAGTTCTTGGAAAAAATTATAATAAGTATTGTGACTAAGTATGACAATTTCTGAGAGGCAAGCTATTTTTCCCTACAGATCCAGCCTGGGTTGCTTTAGTATTGATGTTTTGAACCTAGAAGTTAAATGCTAATGTAGTGTCATTTTGTTAAAATTGTATATCACAGAAAAGCAGAATAATACATATATAACATTTAGTTGATTTTGCTTTTCATTGCATCCATGTGTCTACTAAGCTTATATATGTATTTATATCAATATTTTTGGTTTTACAGTGAAATATTTTTTCTTGCTAATACCTGTCATGTTTTTAATTATACTTAAAGCATGCCTTTAAAATCAGTAATACAGAGATGTCATCAGCTTTTATCTGTTTATATTAAGTGACCTTACAGTGGATCCCAATCTGAGATATCCTAGAATTTCCCAGAGTGGGATTTTGTGTGCTGTGACTTTCTTTTAAGCCTCAAAGCAAAGCATGTGTATCTAAGATTGCAGTTTTGTTTTCTTCACCCATTCCTGGTTAAAGAGAATGTTGTGGTGGCTGTTTGTCCCAAATGAGGCAGATGGTGGAATTTTACTAGAAGGAGCTGAGCAGAGGAGGGGAAAGCTGAGCAAGAGGAAGGAGTTTGAGATTGGGGGAACCACATGGCCCAGAAAGCAGGCCCAGTCCAAAGTCAGAAAACAAGCCCAGTTTTTGCAGGATGAGCTTTCCAGTATTTAAGACCGAAATGTGTATGGTGGCTGTGGGCTGGTGTAATTTTGAAAGAGAGGTAGTAGGCAGTTTGCCATCTGTAATAATTTGAGGGCATCTTTAAGGTGCCAATAACTGAAATCCCGCTTTAGAACTGGGAATCTGGCTTGAGTTTGAGCCCTATCCTGTACACTGTGTGACCTTTCTGAGTTGCAGTTTCCTTTTCTCTGTAATGATAAGACCTAGTCAAAATTTATAATCAGGATAAATTAGGTAATGTACACAAAATTGCTTTGTTCAGTGGCATGTGCCATAAATGCTACTGGAGTTGAGCAAAGATAGTTTCTGTTAGACTGTCCCACAGAACCTGCACAGCCATCCACATTTCATGCCTCAGATCAGATGGATTGATTGGAACATTGATATCGTTACGGTGAGCCCAATGATTAGGCTACCACATCTAGTGCTTTCAAAAACAAACCAAAAAAAGATACATAAGTCTCTTTGATAACTGATTAATGAAGTGAGATTCTTAATGTCATTTATTAAATGTAAAGCTTATTTACAGCATTTATAGAATCAGATCTTCAGGGGATCTCATCTAATTTTCTCCCCTCCCTTCAAGAAGGGCTGTATCAAATGTAAATTAGCCCTGACAGATGGTGATTGGATTCAGTTTCTAAATTTCTTAAGGAAGATTTCACAGTTTTCCTCTCTAAATTCTTTCAGTAATTTAACAATTCTTATGCCAAGTTTTTCCTTACAGCTGACCTAAATCTGCACTTGTAAGTCCTTCCTTATCCCCCTCCTCCAGTCTTTACCAGAGATAGAGAACAGCTGGCCAGCAACCTTCTTATGATAATAACCCTTTTCAGTATTGAAAAAAGAGTTACTCAGTTGGACTCAATCGCTCCATCTTGTCCACCCCTGCTCCACCTCCCCACACCCCACCCCCATCCCCCCTCTCCCCCCACCCCCGTTCATTAGCTAGTCTTGCCTTCTCTGAATCATTCATGATGATGCCGCCATCCCTTGCCCTGTCCCTGTCTCAGACCCTTGATGCTTCCAAGCAGCTGGGCAGACGTGTGGCTCTGGGGAGGAGGCAGGCTGCTGCTTCCTCTCCTTCCTATGCTTTATGCATCATTGAGCCTTCTAATAAATGAATCAGGATAACCCTTAACAGTGTTGAGCGAGTACATGGCACATGTATCTCATAAACATGGAGTTCTGCAAGGATACTAATCACAGGTTGCTTTGAAAATTGGGCCTCCCCAGTGCCTTAGTTTGCTGAGCCAGTCAGGCCATGACGCTACTACTTTGCATGCTAAAGATAACACTGATTGACATCTCTGCTCTCTTGAACTTAGTCTTGGAAGACACTGAGCTAAAACTCTCCTGAGTGTAGAGTATGCACACTGACTGAAAGAGAGAATGGGCTTCCCCAGCTTTCTAAGTTGCAATTGGGAAATAAGTGACCATTGAGGACAATTGAGCTCATTAAGCTGATCCCAAGAGGTTTCAGAGTGGCTCCTGTTTTTAATCTGAATGTGTATGCTTCTTTGTCTCTCTAGGTTTATTACCCAGAGCTTTCTGTCTGGGTCTGTCAAGAACCATTTCCAGACAAGGAAATGGAGGGAAGGCTTCCTAAGGTAAGATCTCCAGCTGATATTTTGTTAAGGTGTTTTGTTTTTTTTTTAAATATAGAAACAAAAACATCTATTCCTCATTTTAATACTCATTACTGTCTACTATAATAATCCCCTTATGGCAGAAAGTGAAAAGGAACTAAAAAGCCTCTTGATGAAAGTGAAAGGGGAGAGTGAAAAAGTTGGCTTAAAGCTCAACATTCAGAAAACTAAGATCATGGCATCTGGTCCCATCACCTCATGGGAAATAGATGGGGAAACAGTGGAACAGTGTCAGACTTTATTTTTTTGGGCTCCAAAATCACTGTAGATGGTGATTGCAACCATGAAATTAAATGATGCTTGCTCCTTGAAAGGAAAGTTATGACCAACCTAGATAGCATATTAAAAAGCAGAGACATTACTTTGCCAACAAAGGTCCATCTAGTCAAGGCTATGGTTTTTCCAGTGGTCATGTATGGATGTGAGAGCTGGACTATAAAGAAAGTTGAGCGCTGAAGAATTGATGCTTTTGAACTGTGGTGTTGGAGAAGACTCTTGAGAGTCCCTTGGACTGCAAGGAGAGCCAACCAGTTCATCCTAAAGGAGATCAGTCCTGGATGTTCATTGGAAGGACTGATGCTGAAACTGAAACTCCAGTACTTTGGCCACCTCATGCGAAGAGCTGACTCATTTGAAAAGACCCTGATGCTGGGAAAGATTGAGGGCAGGAGGAGAAGCAGATGACAGAAGATGAGATGGTTGGATGGCATCACCGACTCAATGGACATGAGTTTGGGTAAACTCCGGGAGTTGGTGATGGACAGGGAGGCCTTGTGTGCTGTGATTCATGGGGTCGCAAAGAGTCAGACATGACTGAGCAACTGAATTGATAATAATCCATTAACCTGATACCATAATCCATAACCTATTATCATCTTGGAAATAACATGTGGTACAAAAAAAAGAAAAAGAATATCCTCATATCCTGTGACTCTTACAGTTTATATTATCTTTCTTTCTTGATGCCCAAAGTCCAAAGTAAATTTTCATTTAAGAATCGTGGAACCAATTTGTCAACTATACATTTTACAGGTTTTTTTAATTTGTTTGTTCCATTCTGATATAGATAAATCCAAATATGAATATATCTAACTAAAAGATCTCTTAAAAGTATAGATGATGATATTTTTTCTGGTAACAATACCTGACTATGTGATAAAATTACCCATGAAACAAAACAGAAAGAATATTAAAAAGCTGCTATATTTTTTCTTCTAAGTTTTAGGCCCAAAAGTATTTTCTATTAACATGCTTTTATTGCTCAGACATTTTCAGTGTGACAGTTTTCTGCCGTAAGAAAATTTGTAAAATTTACATTTTATTTTTTCAGCAGTATTTCAAAAAAACAACAGAAACATTTACCAATTTTTTACTGTAGATACCTTTGAACTTTTCTTGTTAGGGTAAATTTCAATTTGACCTTAAGCAAGGATGATTGTATTTTTTACCACCGACCTGTTGATTCTGTAATTTAAAAAAAATAGAGACCATTGAAAATACAATTTCCATTTAAAAATTTCTTAAGTGTAATTGACCAATGGAGAGGACTCCCCAGCTATTACTGTCATTTCAATTTTGGTAAACTATCTTACTTGCCTTTAATGGTTTCAGCAATTTCCTACGTTTTACTGACAGGCAGACATTAGTTAAAGAGATTGTGTCGACTGGCAGTTTGCACTGAGAGAAAACAGTCCTAAATCACTTTGAATCTTTCAGAGAATTTCTGAAGGTCAAGGTCGAAATCACTGGCAAGAAAGTACGTGAACTAAATGATTTGGTCCCTGCCTGGGCTAGACTTTTTCTGATCTTATAGAGTTGGAGTGGAAGTGAGCTAAAATACAGGCGCTTTATTTAAAACACACTCACACCCCACCACTGCACCACCAGGGTTGCAGTACCTGGTGGTCTTTGCTGGACCATCTCAGGGCATAATTTCCCTGAGTAGTTGAGGGTAAGATGTGATCATGGAAGGGACGAGGGGAAGTATAGCCTTTTTATGAGTGCCTGCCCCATTCAGGAGCCCAGAGTTCATGTCTTTGATACTGGTAGCATCAACCAGACAAGCAAGACTGGCCAAATTCCTCAGTGAGGTCAACAGTGCCTCCGTTTCCCTTTAAGGCCATCTGAGTCCTAGGCCTTGTTGGCATTGAGATATGCTCCAGGGAGCTGGTGGATCCTGGAATTCAGGTCTTCTGTTATTTTGAGTTCTTTCCTCTCCAAATATATGAATAGTATTTTAAGCATAATATATTTGTCCTTTTTCTAGCTGTTGCCTTCTGGAAAAGTACATCTTTGCATAATCATAAGAAAAACAATCCTGGCTTACTTGGCCCAAAACACATTATTGAGTAACTGAGGGAACTAACAATTATTGGCAGGGAGAGCCACCCAGAAGCACAGTCTCTGGGGGCCCCTGGACACATATCTATATCTCCTCCTCCAGCCTTTTGGTTTATTCAAGTTCCTCAGTCCTATAGGGACCATTATATGGGGATGATGGAGGGAAATAGCACAATTTTTGCATAAAATTCTTCCACGGTCTAACTTGTGGAAGTAAGACATCTTCCTGTCTCTTCTTTGAAATACCTCCTTCTCTTGTTGCAGAAGCTTGAACTTCCTTCAATGGGGGCAGAGATATCTTTTTTCCTTTCTTTCTCTCTCTCTCTCTCTCTTTTTTTTTTTTAATGAATAGGAGGTAGGGACTGAAGTCTAGTGAATTCCAGTCTCCAAAGGAAGGATGCACAGAACTTTAGCTCCCCAGGGTGTCTCATATCAGAACTCCCTGCAAGGTTTGTCACCACTGCTTTGCTGTCCTCCAGTTACTTGGGTGGTTCCCATATAGCATGTTAATTTTAGGGCAGGCTCGAAGGACTGCTTTTGTCCCTCTTGCCTTAAAATCTAATAGACTGTTCAGTCCATAGTAGGCATGCAGAACGTGAATAATGAAGGAAGGACACATCTGAATATTTAGGGGTCTCAAAAGAGAGAAAAAAAATACTAAAAATGGTAAATTCAAATCTGAAATAATCTCCTTAGAATTTTGTTTTCCTGGAAGAACTTCTTTCCAAATTAACCATATCCCACCCATCTCCCATCCATTTTGCTGTATTTTTTGTTTTCATGGAAATATGAGAGTAGTAAGACTGAGATATATAAAGACTAACTGATGTTCTATATATTCACTTAAGAGTAAGTCTGAAGTAGGCAGTTTTAAGGCCAGCCATGATGTTAAGTGAAGTGTGTTGTGAACTTTTGATTTCCTTTTCTAGGCCTATGATAGTTAGCATTGAATTCTTCATTTGTCTGAAACTTGTTTGTCATATCCTGAACCGTGATGCTCACTGGTTGATATGGGAGGAGAAACAAACATTATTTTAAAGACATTGAGTTTCAAAGGATTTCTTTTTTAAATAGTGGGATTGCATGCCAAAATTTGAAAATTGAAATTATTTTCACAAAAGAAAGGAATTGCTCAAAATAATGCTTTTGGATATTTTTCTGGATCCTTTAGGGCATGTAAATGATGAATAAAATTTTAATTTAACTTTCTGATTTGGCCCTTTTGGCATTTAATGATACCAAAACAACCTCTAAATCACAGACTATGACTGGAACATTAAAATACACACTGAGTAGATTTTATATACATTCTGAAAATGTTACATGCTCTAAAAGTCTGAGATTTTTGAAAAAAAATTTAGATAAAACAGATGTGTAATATGAGAGCACTGTACGGTAAGTAAAACTTCTTAAAACTGAATTATCTGTTACATTTAGTTCACTCTGGGGTTGCTGAGTGAACCGAACAATTCGGTTTCAAGTTGTTTGGACGTCTCTGATTTCTGAATTCTTCAGTTCAAGTTTAGTTGCTCAGTCACGTCCAACTCTTTGCAACCGCATGGACTGCACCTTGCCAGGCTTCCCTGTCCATCACCAACTCCTGGAGCTTTCTCAAACTCATTGAGTTGGTGAAGCCATCCAGCCATCTCATCCTCTGTCATCGCCTTCTTCTCCTGCCTTCAATCTTTCCCAGCATCAGGGTCTTTTCCAGTGAGTCAGTTCTTCACATCAGGTGGCCAAAGTATTGGAGCTTCAGCTTCAGAAACAGTCCTTCCAATGAATATTCAGCACTGATCTCCTTTAGGATGGACTGGTTGGATCTCCTTGCAGTCCAAGGGACTCTCAAGAGTCTTTTCCAACACCACAGTTCAAAAGCATCAATTCCTTGGCGCTCAGCTTTCTTTATGGTCCAACTCTCACATCCATACATGACTATTGGAAAAACCATAACTTTAATTAGATGGACCTTTGTCAGCAAAGTAATGTCTCTGCTTTTTAATATGCTGTCTAGATTGGTCATAGCTTTTCTTCCAAAGAGCAAGTGTCTTTTAATTTCATGGCTGCAGTCACCATCTGCAGTGATTTGGAGGCCAAGAAAATAAAGTCTGTCACTATTTCCATTGTTTCCCCATCTATTTGCCATGAAGTGATGGGACCGAATGCCACAGTCTTAGTTTTTTGAATGTTGAGTTTCTTAAAAAGATTCAAATATGGTAATTTGTAGACTACAAAGCATGATTATCACTTTAACCCAAGTACCCATATCCAGTCAAATTGGCTTATTATAACTATCCTTTTAGAACACGTGACCTTAACAAAAAGAAAAAAAAAAAATCCCAACAGATCTTTTAAAACCATAATGGATTTTTTTTTTTTTTTCCAAGAAAATTCCTATACTTAATGGTTAGGCTAAAAGAGACTCTTGTCATATGTTCACATTTTGTATCATTGCTTGGGCAGATGGGCCTCATTGTCCTGTCCTCATGCTGTTTGATTGTGGTGGGGATCTCCTCCTCGTGGGTGCTCAGTGGGTCCTCAGTCACAGTGTATTTGGATTCTTCTAGTCGGATACACAAAACCTCATTCATCAGGATTGTGAGGATAGACTAGAAGAGCCCCAGTCAGTCCCAACTAGCTGAGTCTCCCGCTCTTCTGGCCCTGGTTCCCCTCTCGTCTCCTCTCTTCTGCAGCTGCTGCCTGCCCACCCCCAGCCCACATGATTTCCCTCCCAAACACTCCCCTGTCTTTAGTACCCACTTTTGGCTCTCACTGTAAGGCCTATAGGGCCTGGGCCACTTGCTTCTAGAATAAAATGTTCATAAATTACATTTGTTGCAGCTGTGATATGCTTTAAGTATTTTAACTACTATAAAACAATTATCCCTTTCCACCACAGTCATTCAACTCTTAAAAAAAAAAAAAAGCGTTAACACTCTTAGGAACACCTCTCACCCAGTCTTCTGTCAGGCCATATTTGATCCCAGAAACTGTTTTTAGAAACCTGACTTTGGGGAATGCTGCCTCCCACACGGCTGGGCTCAGCCCTTAGAGAAGCACTTGATTCTACTGCAGCCAAGGCAGCTAGTGTTTAATGACTTCATGCCCTCACAGACCTAATATTTACATTCAGGTGAACTGTGTTTAATATGTAAACTCTGCAAAATGTTGGGAGTTCAGGGATAAAAGTCGGGAGGAAGAAGCAAAAATGTGCAAGTGGTTTTAAAAGCATGACTCAGTGTAATTCTTTGTGTGTGTGTCTGTCTGTGTGCTCTTCAGGGAAGACTTCCTGTCCCCAAGGAAGTGAACCGCAAGAAGGCTGGCGAGATGGGGGCTGCCTCCCTGACTCCACTTGGCAGCAATGAACTCCACTCCCCAGGAACCAGTTACCTCCACTCTTTTTAATCACCTCCATTTGTATTACATATGGTGTATGGGTATTGATGAGGTCATGGTATCATATATGGGATTTTTTTCTGTGTAAATCATCAAGTATAAGAAGAAACTATGGGACTCTGAGCCTTGCTTTAGAGATTTTACAGTGGACAAATAGGTATCATCAAACCAGTTTTTAATCATTCTGACTCAAGTGAAAACGCTCAGAATTTCACACTGTGAATCCACGTTTACATCCCTTACAGGTGGGCCTTCAGGCCTGGTTCGCTACGACAATGTCTTCCACAACTCAAACCCTCTCTGCTCTCACACAACCGGTCCACTTCTGCCTTTTCACTCACACAGCTCCTGACTGCTTCTTGCAGAGGCTGAGAGTCCCCTTTTTTTTTTTTTTTTTTTCATTTAGATGTAACAAGCCTAGTAGTTTATGTTCATCAATTGTCTGTATATCTCTATATTTTACCCATGTACTCTTTTGATGTATAGAAGTAGTTTGAAACTCATTGTTTCCTTGTGGTAAGTGACCGAGATGCTGCCACAGGACCTGAGACACTGATGAATGGTGCTATTTTGGACTTTCAACATGCTCCTTGGCGAGGTAGCTCTGATGGAGTTTTTTTTATTTTCATGTTCTAAGAAGGTGTTGGTACTCTGTTTCCCTGAATGTCGTTCTCTAGACTGGATTGACCTGTTCTCCTCGTGTCTTCAGTGTGGCTTTCTTCGTCAGCGTTGGCGGTTGAGCGAGTGCCACCGCGGAGCAGCAGACCCCGGCTCGCGGGCTGGCACTCCCGGACGCGCAGTCACTGTAGCGGGAGCAATCACAAAACTGTAATTTCCTTACCAAGTCTCTTCCTTTCCGTAGCCTCGCCTGCCTAACAGTGAACGAAAAGCAATAATTTGACAGGCGTCTTTAGGTGTCTCTTTTGGTTCTTTCATTTGAAAGAATATTCAGGGGGAAAGGGGCAAACTTTTTTTTTTTTCCTTTTTATAAATGCCCTCGGGGCGGGGGGAGGGGGGGAAATCCCCCAAATTAGCATCTCAGTAGGAACATGAAAGTTACACCTTTCCCAAAAATTAGGTTGAAGAAAATGTCTTTACCAAAAAAAAAAAATTCTTTTTTTAAAAGGCAGAGCACTCTTTTTCAACAGTCCTGATAAGCAAGGTGTAGATTTTACATTTTTGTCCTTGCTCCCAATGAAATGGATAAACAAAAATACAACCAGACAATACCATCTACTCACGGAATGTTGTTGTGTTAGCCAGTCTGAAAGCCCACCTTGATTTTTATATAACTGTCTTTTAGCTCTTCCTTTGACAGGGCAGGCTTCGTTCTGAACTGTTCCGCTTCCGACTGTTACACATCGACTGACGCATGCGCTGCACTTCTTCCTTCTCTTCTCGCTCCCCATTGGCCTGAGTTTCCTGTGCATTTCCCCCCTACCTCCTTTGTTAGAGTAGGTATATCCGCTGTGTAAATAGAGCAAGAAAACAGTATTCTGCATCTGTGGCATTTACGTAGAGTTGCAGTTGTGTACTGCTGAATATGCAGGCTTTTGTAACAATGTGATCTTTACTGATGCACTCACGACAAGTACCCAATGTATTTTAGCTATTTTAGTAGTATTTGTTCAATAAATATGCAAGCTGTATGGTAACTGGCTTGGCTCATCATTGGAAAGGCCTTTTGAATACTTTCACTGTCTCATGTTAATTCATGTGCTCTCAGAGACCCAAAAGTAGATCCAAGGGCAAATATCAAAAGAGATAGAATCAGCTCCGCCTTTTCATGCATTTTGCCTTCTGAGGGTTTTATGAGATGAGGGCCTAGGCAACGGCTCATTAGGATGGTATTTGTAGAGCTGCCTATGGATACAAAGGAGAATTAAACCAGGACCCTTTTATTTCTGCACTTTTGTTTTGCTCTTTCAGTGCACTCCCTCACACCTCAAAACATTCTTTTTTGCCCTTGCCGTAAAGACTTACTCTGTGGGGTTTTTAACCCATACCAAAAGATACCTAACCTTGCTTCTTCATGGAATATTTGCATATACTCACAAAAGTGTATAAACGTATAAGAAAAATCTTATAAGTGGGTAGAATTTTGAGATAGAATTTTAAGTCTTGAATTCACATGTACCCAGCTACCTGTAATCTAGCAAATGATAAGATAAGCATCACCAGAACCTTCTGGAGGTTACCTGGGATGCTGAAACCCAACAATTCAGGGAATTTATCCTCTCCCTGTGTATGAGAAATGCCAGCTGGTCCTTTCTCATCTATTATCAGTGGAACTTCAGTTGGATTTACAGATTAATACAAGTTGTTAAATTGACTGGTAGTGAACTCTACTACCTAGCTATTTGGGTTTCACCAGAACGGGCTAAGGAGCAGATGCCTAAGAGCCAGAGGGAGACCGGAGAGGAGCCAAAGATAGCATTGCCGCAAGCTGGGAGTTCAGGCTTTGGAGAAAGGGCATTAGATGTTGTCTGGGGAATCTTGGTTCTTGACACCTCTGTTTGTGTCAGGAGGGACTTTTAAATTGGGGAGTTGCTTTTGAAATTAATGCATATCTCAGATTTTGGTCAAGATTCTTATTTTATCTTAATGTTTAATCTTATTAAGAGAAAGGAGCTTTAGGGCAGAATTGCCTACCAGATCACTGGAATCTTCTCAACTTGGAAGAAAATTGTTAAATGGGGCTACACTGTTTTGGTAATCCCACCAGAGGTAAGTACTTCTAAATGTAAGAGAAGTGCTCTTCAAATACAATTATCTTTCATCTTATAATGTTACTATTTTCCTCACTCAGGAGGCTCCCATCACTTATATGTGTTATCACAGCTGTGAGGGGTTACATCTTGCCTTCTTGCTCTTGTTAAACTCAGAACAGAAAACGTGATGAGGCCAGGCCAGGGGGATGGTAGTCTGGGTTGCTTTATGCCCCTCTATATTAATCTTTTGCCACAGGACAACCACACTTGACATCTTGGAACAACAGAAGTTTATCGTCTCCTGGATTCCGTTGGTCAGGGGTCAGGAGCAGCTGAGCTAGTGGTTATGGCACAGCATTTCTTCTGGGTTTACAGTCAAGAGGTCAGCAGGCTGCAATTATCTGAAGGCTTAGCCAGGGCTGGAGAATCAGCTCCCAGTGTGGCTTGCTCACATGGTTGTTGGCAGGAGAATTCAGTTCTCCCACACATGGGCTTCTCCACAGGGCCACTCAAGTGTGCTCATGACCTCTGGCTTTCCCCACAGTGAGTAATTTAAGAGAGAGCTGGGAGCAAGCCATAATGCCTGTGACCTGTTCTCAGAAGTCACCATCATCCATCATACTCTATTCATTAGAAGTAAGTCACTAAGTATAGCTCACAGTCATGGAGAGGGAATTAAGCTCTACCTCCTGAAGGGAGGAGTATCAAAATATTTGTGGACACATTTGAAAACCAGTGCACCATCTGAAGTTAAAGCCTCAGGGTAACTGTAGGCCGGGGGCTGAAAGTGAGAATGGCTGATAGTAGACTCATAGTTGTTTCTTTGAAGTTTTGCAATCCTTGGAGCTCCAGAGACTGAAGGCAGAAGAGGAGCGCATCCAGGAGCTATAATACTGTTTCTTAACCCAAGTGCTATTGACTCTGAAAGGAATATTTAGAAAATGTTATCGGAAGCTATCAAAACAGGGACGCTAGAATAAATGATGTTTAAAGTTCCATCCAACTCAATGGCTTGGGTTTGATGATGCCTACTCCCTTGTTCCCTATGAAGCTTGAAACACTAGATAATTAACTATGCATTTCAACGTAAATTTGCAGGATCCATGTTGTGAAGATCAGCTACAACTTGTTCAGGGTTATTAAAGCTATGGTTTTTCCAGTAGTCATGTATGGATGAGAGAGTTGGACTATGAAGAAAGCTGAGTGCCAAAGAATTGACGCTTTTGAACTGTGGAGTTGGAGAAGACTCTTGAGAGTCCCTTGGACTGCAAGGAGATCCAACCAGTCCATCCTAAAGGAAATCAGTCCTGAATATTCATTGGAAAGATTGATGCTGAAGCTGAAACTCCAATACTTTGGCCACCTGATGCGAAGAACTGACTCATTGAAAGAGATCCCGATGCTGGGAAAGATTGAAGGCAGGAGAAGTAGGGGCCAACAGAGGATGAGATGGTTGGATGGTATCACCAACTTGATGCACATGAGTTTCAGTAAGCTCCAAGAGTTGGTGATGGACAGGGAAGTCTGGCGGGCTGCAGTCCATGGGGTCCCAAAGAGTCGGATGTGACTGAGTGACTGGACTGAACTGAATAATCTGCTGATGTGGAGCTGAGAAACTGGAGCACTAGCCAGAGTCAGAGCAGGAGACCCAAACTCTGATTAAAGACTGTGCTTTGTTCTTTCTCTAGAGGTAAAAATATTACCCTGTGGACTTTGGGCAGAGATTGCTAACCAAAAACCATGGACTAGATAGGACCTGCAGACTTGTTTTGCCTGCACAATGTGTTTTATAAAAATGTTGATTTAACTTCCACCATTTACAAGTTGGAAGATTTCACATGAAAATGTAGGCTTGGGGCGTCCCTTGAAAAATGAGAGCTGAGTAGCAGTCTCCGTCTCTGATGCGGCGTGGCCCCTCACACATCCGGTCCTCACCCTGCTCATCTCGTGCTGTCTGCTTTGTTCCCTTACCTCCCCTGCTCACTCTGCTGGCACTTGAGTTTGCAACAGGAATCTTCTAATTTCAGAGATGCACCCACAAATGGTCAGAGGACCCTCTAAGATCTTTGTCTGATGGTTGTGAAGGCCAGACTGGAAACAGACAGGGCTGCTGCAGTTCCCTTTGCAGCTCCAGGCCCTCTTCTCAACTTCTGAATTACCCTCCCCCAGTGACCGAGAGTCCCAGGCTAGAACACCTTGGACTGGGTCAGGTTAGACTACTATAGGTCTGAAAAATGCATGGTCTTCAAACCAGGGTACGTGTACCTCAGGCCATGTGAAGTCTTTCCCAGGAGTCTATGCTCATAGGAGTTTTAAGGAAACTCGTTTCTAGATCCGCTATGCATACTGCACTCTTCCCTAAGATTGTTCTGCTGAGAATGAGCCTATGTTTATAATAGTCCTCTCCACATTATTTTAAAAAAGATAGGTATCACACATCCCAATTCTTAATATAATATGACACAAAAACCGCAGATGTGGCAAAGAGGAAGGTTGCTTTAATGATTAATCATAAATTCATTATGCTTTGGGCTTTCCCTTCTTATACACACGTTCAAAGTGATAGATTAGAAAACATAGAAATGAGGTGTTTGGATTCATGGGATTTCAGAATTCAGATAATATTGGTAAAATGCAGTGATGGAAATAATGACAATTTTTATTTAATGCTTTCTCCTCCTGACACTTGTCAAAAAATGCCTTGCCGTTAAGAGAGAGTCCTAAGAGGGGGAAGCAAAGGGAAAATCAGTAGGAAACACTGAATACCCAAAATGGCTTGTTCATGTGATTTTAAGCATTTTTTTTCCCCATTGGTCTCCATACTCATCCCTAGGATATTTCTTAACCTGGGAAGAAAGTAGCCTAGAACAGCTACAGCAGTATAAGTTTGCATTGCTGATTATTTTAAATGTAATCAGGATGCCTATTGAAAATACTCAATTTTTACAAGATAAAATGGGTAAAATTCAAGGATTAAAAAATTTTCATGTGGTCTCTTTCAGACTTGATGTGCATTAGTTAATAAAACTGTCAAAACCTGTGGTATCAAACCATAGCATAAAATACTTGTTTCAATTATTTGTTTCAATTATAGTCAATTCTCATCATATCCTATCCTATCTTATAAAATGTTTAATATGTTTTTCATAACATCATCAAAAATATTAGTGTGCTGCTAGACTTATTAGAAGCCTAAAACCCTTCTATTTGTGGTGCTTCTCATTTTTTCACCAGTTCTTATTTATCCTCCAAAGTCAATCAGTAGCATTCAATAGCCTCATTCAGTTTTACTAGAGACATGTCATGCCTTTCATCATTCTTCTTACTTGATTGAAGAAAGTGTGTGGATAATTTTATTTTCATAACTTATTTAAACATGGAATAATTAATTATATTAGGCTCATATAATTTTAATTATGATTGGTTTCAGTGGTCAGTTTCACAATATAGACTTAATTCTCATTCATTTTTTATAATAATCCTCGAAATAACTATCTGAATTGAAAAGTGAATTCAAGGTTTTTTCTACAGAGAGTGTATCTGATTTGACTAATAAGGTTTGACAGTGAAGACTAGCTCTGCCAAAGATGTTTGTGATGGACAAGTTCTGTTAATGGGCTAAATCTGCAACTCTAAGGTAATGATAATATGGTTAAGGCAAGAAATATCATAAAAATATTTGATCAAAAAGCATTGTTTTGACAAAAGTGTAATGAAATTAATATCTATCTATTATTCCTTTCATTTCTGAAGACATGGGATTTTAAAAGGTGGGTTTAGGTGAAAGTGTTACAACATAATTAGAAATCATTTGATAAATCTTTGCAAAGATCTTTCTTCCCAGAAACTGAGCAAGTGAATTAGATTTTAATGACGAGGACAAATCCCTTTGCAAGTCAGGGTGCTTTCCAACTCACCACTTATAAAAAAAAAATGCAGAAGGACCTAATCAAGTTGTCAGGTGAAAGAAGATTAAAGATATGTTTTGATAGTAGATCATCATATGAATTTTGGCATATAACATGGAAGGAGTTCAAAGAGTTAAATTACATTACTATCATAAAACACTTTCAGCTCCTACAGTTTACAGCTTAAAAACATACAAAAGAGGGGGACCGGGATGGGGAATACATGTAAAAAAAAAAAAAAAAAAAGATACACTATGGTTGTGATAAAAATAAATAAATAAATAAATTAAAAAAAAAAAAAGAAAAAAAAAACATACAAAAGAAATAGACTTGATAACCCATGTCTCATTTTAGCATTAAGTAATATTCATCTACAGATGCTTGAAATAATTGAAAAAATTCATCATCTTTTTAAGATGTATTTTCATTCTAATTTCAACTTTTGTGTTTAATAATAAATATATTTATGTAGTTTTAGTTAGTAGTGAATTGCTAATGATGCTAATTCATACAACCAGCTTGTTTTAATGCTTACAGTTTTATGATCACAGAACATAAAAGTTTCTAAATTTAGATACATTTTTTTTACTGCAGATAAATGTGCTGGGTGATCAATAAAGTCTTATAAAAATTTTATTAATTACAACTCTTGAAACTGGAATAAAAATTTAAGTTCATGAAAAAAAATCAAATTTCTGCAAGTTAAAAACTTGTTTTTAAAAATGAAGTTATGGATTATCAGTTGCCACGGTGTTTAGATTTGATTGCATACATTTATGAAAGAAATTCAACTTTTATGTTAGAATAGAAACATTTACAATATATTTCAAATTATAACCTTTGAAAGTATTTAAACTTAGGATGAAAAACTTTACTGTTAACTTAGAAATTGCATGATGGAAATACTCTATTAAGATTGTCTTTTCCAAATTTTCAATTTTAATTTTTTTGCATTTTGGCCACCCTGCACAGCATGTGGGATGGTTCCCTGACTGGGGATTGAACTCAGGCCTCCCCAGTGAAAGCAGCAGTTCCTAACAACTAGGCCACCAGGGAACTCCCAAGAGTCTCTCTTATTTTAGAACAAAAATATTTTAACATCTCTGAACTAGATAACCACCTCTATCCTGGGCTTTGAGGAACTCACTTTTGGCCAGAAATACTTCTCACCCAGCCACAATGCCTGAATCCTCCCATTATTCTGCACGGAGAAGCCTTGAAGTTTGCAGGCCATGAACTTAGTGCGCTTCAGGAAACAAGACTCCCAGGGAACACAACAGGAATGAATTTTGATGGGGAAAGGAAAGAAAGATCGAGACTACCTGGTCCCCGGAGCCCCTGACTGCACATGGAGTCAGGAGGAAGGTCTCAGAGATCGGTCTTCCTGGGCTGCAAGTTCATTACGTCGGTAATTATTCTTAGAGCCTTTACTTCATTCATTTGATTTTCAAGGTCAAACCTCTTTAGCGATAATCCTTTTCTTTCAGAGTCTTTTAAACACTTCGGTGTATCTCTGTCCAGCTGCGTCAGCGGTCAGAGGAGAAGGGGACCTGGGTCGGTGAGAAGTGGGATTGTACGGCAGGCTTCCAACCCTCGAGTCCTTGGGACCACAGCAGTCCTGGAGAAAAGTCCATAGAACCTTAGGGTAGAAAAATAGGATCTCTTTTCATTTATCGTGTGTGTCCAGTAGGCTTACCTCTGAGCAGAGCTACATAGAGGCAATACGCAATTAATCTGTTCCTTCTCACAGTACACAGTGCCATTAACAGCTTAGCTATTTCACTGAGAGACCCATGTGGGTATGTGAAAGCCTCATGGAACAGAGCATTTTTTTTTTTTTTACATGTGGTAAAAAAAATCCCCCAAGATGCACTGAAATGCTAGCATTGGATTAACCCATGCATGAGCATCTCTTTTTTTTTTTTTTTTCTTTTAAAATTCTTTATTTATTTTTTTTTTGTATTTATTTTTTGGAACAGAGCATTTTAAGAATGCATTAATTTGTGATTCCTTCAAGTTGGGCAGCTTTAATTATCAGTTGGAACCCTTTTGAGCCTAACACATCTCTTACTTTCCAGCCACCCTTGGGTCCTAGCTGAGTTCTCAGCGCTACAGAGACTAAGGGGGCTCTTTCCTTCCGCACAACAGCCTTTCGTGTCCCGTTCCTCTGCCTTTTGCTCTTGCAGGCAGAACTGCCTCCGTTCCTTTGGCCAGTTTCCTTGGGATCTGTTTTCTGGAGCTTTCTCCACCGCTATTGCCCTCTTAGAAGAACCGGTGTGTGTGGCTGCCCCAGCTCCTTTTGAAACATGGTAGCCGCGGCCTGGGAAGGTTCCGGGGCGAGGCTCCCGTCAGGACACACACTGGTGGCACGCGGGCCTCAGGGCGCCCTGTGGCGTGGCTCAGCCGAGGCCCCGGGGGCCCGTTACTGACCCAGTAGCTGCCGCAGGGCCACATGTGCCCTGCTCCCAAGTCTGCCTGGGCTCCTCCCCGGGCCTCTCTCAGGGCCGCGAGAAGGCCGGAGACAAGCACGGCTTTTCGCAGAGGCCCTAGGCCTCCTCCTGTGCCCTCCTCTCCCCGGGCTGTTTGTGCCGAAGATTCTGGGTATCTGGGAGAGGGGAGCAAGCAAGGGCACTTCCTCAGGCCGCTGCGGGAACCGCCTCCCCAGCTCGCTCCTCCAAATCCCAAAGCTAGCTTCCGAAAAACAAGTGCTCCCTGCAGAGCTGAGGCGCACCGCTTTCTTAGACGGAAGGGTAACTGGTATGCTCTAATTTGTCATTAACAGCTAGGATCTGCTTTGTCAGATGTGTTAATGAGAGAGCATTTGATGTGCGTTCTTGTGGAGGAGGACTGGCTCCAAGGGACATTTAGAAAGTGTGGTAGCAGCTCCTGGGAAGAGTGTGAAAAATAGCCGCTTGCTCATTGTCTGTGTAGGACACTTGAGTGACTGTCACTTATATCATTTCACATGTGGCTCCTCTGCAATGATGCGATGCGAGGTCACAATCGTTATCTCGGCTCAGGAATAATTAGTTGCCCACAGTGAAATAGCTTGTCTGAGATGGCAGAGCCTCTTCCTTAATCTTTATACTTCCTACATGCTCATAAGTGGCTGTTGGGAATGTAACAGCCTGCATGTAGAACCTGCATGTTACTCATCAATCCTACACCTAGGTGTATAGCCAAAGAATTGAAAATATGTGTACACAAACAAATGTACATGGCAGCATTATTCATATTCACTAAAAATGCCCATAAGTTGATGACTAGTCAAGCAAAATGTGATATATCCATACAATTTAATACTGTACATTGAAAAAAAAAAGCATTGAAACACTGACACATCTACAATATGGATAAACCTTGAACACCTTATACCCAAATCAGTCACATACAGTTATACATTATATGATTGTGTTTATATTAAATATCCCAGATAAGCAAATGCAGAGAAATAGAAAGTAGATTAGAAGTTGCCAGGGGTGAGGAAGGAGAGAATGGAAAGTGATTGCTAATAAATATTAGTGATTACCCTATTCTGGAATTACATTAAGTGTCATGGTTATACAATCTTCTGAATGTACTTAAAACTACTAAATTGTACATCTTAAAAGGATGAGTTTTATGATATATTACTTATATCTCAGTTTTAAAAAATACAATAGTAAAAAACCAAGCTATCCAAATAGAAAATGGCAAAAGGCATGAAAAGAATTTCAACATAGACAATATATAGATGGCAAATAAGATTTGAAGATTATTCAACATCATTAGCCACTAGAGAAATGCAAATGAAAACCACAATGGGATACCACTATACACCTATCAGAATAACTAAAATAAAAATAGTGCCAACACCAAATGCTGATGGGGGTGAGGAAAAACCACATCCCTCATACATTGCTGGAGGGTGAAAAGGTTCAGTCCCTGTGGAAAACAGTTTGGCAGTTTCCTAAAAAGTTAAACATGCAACTAACGTATGACCCAGCAATTGCACATCTCTTGAGAAATGCAAAGTTCTGTTCATGTAAACACCTAAGCCTGAATGTTTATGGCAGCTTGATTCATTATTCCCTCAAAGTGAAGACAACCCAGATGCCTTTCAAAGGGTTGGCCAAACAAACTTGTATACCCATATCATGGAATACTACTCATAGAATAAAAAGAAATGAATTATTGACAAATGCAACAACATGGATGAATCTCCAGAGATTTAGGCTGAGTGAAAAAAAACCAATCCCAAAAACTTATGTACTGTATGATTCTATTTATATAACTTTTTTGAAATGGCAAAAAGTGGACAAAGAGATAACAGATAAGGGGCTAAAAAGAGGGCGTGGGAATGAGCAAGTGATTAAAAGTACAACATGAAGGATCCTTATAGTGATGGAAACCTTCTGCATCCTAACTGTCTCAGCATCAGCATTCTGATCGTGATACTGTACTGCAGTTTTGTAAACTGGGTAAAGAGTACATAAAATCCCTCTGCATTAGTTCTTACAGCTGCATGTGAGTGTACAATGATCTCAAAATAAAAAGTTTAATTTAAAAAATAGAGGAATAAAAAAACATTGAATGACTGCAAAATATTCAGTTATGGCAAACTTTCTTATCTATTACCTTATTTTACATACTCTGAATAATGCTGTGATGAACCTCTTTGTCCCCAAAAGTGTATATGGTCATGTTTCCATATTATATTTTGCCAAACTGCTTTCTCAAAAACTGGTATCAAGTTACCCTCTTATCAACAGTGTAGGCACAGGTGCCCGTCCTAGGGTATACTCACCAGATTTGCAGTATTTGCCTGGTTTCCTATCAACTCATTTTGTAAGAGTAAAAAAGTACTTCATTGCCTCTACTGGCTTATTTTTTTTTTCATATTAGGGAGGATGAACATTTTTAAATGTTTACAAATCATTTGTATTATTTTATGATTAGTCTACTCATCAAGAATCAAGAGATTCCTCTGACTATTCATGCATGAAGCAATGGGCACAGGATACATGAGCTGGTTAAAAATTGATTGTAATTTTTTAAAACGTGGAGTAAAAGTAACAGATTTGGGTGTTAGGGAAATTCTGAGGTGAAATGTAAGCTCTAGGAGTTAGTGATGGACAGGGAGGCCTGGTGTGCTGCAATCCATGGGGTCGCAAAGAGTTGGACACGACTGAGAGACTGAACTGATAACCAAGAAATGGGGAGAATGAGCAGACATAACTGGGCAAGGTCAGAGATGGGGACCATACATGATTTAAGCCTGGGAGAAGTCAGGAAGTGATGTCTGTACAGATAGAGGCATTAGAGCAGGAACTTCCTAAATAAAGAACTAGTTGTAGTCTTTGTCAGAGGAGAGAAGGGGTCCAGGGGTGGGTAAATATACAAAAATCATGCAAGAATCAAATGGCATAGAAATACAAATGGCAGAAAGCTGGAGAAGTAGCCCAGGGCACAATTTTAATCCCAGAAACAAGGTCCTGTTGTATCTTTTAAAACAAATAGAGAATGAGGGTTGTTTGAGGGTGTGTGTGACTACTGCTGTAAAGTGGAGAATGGGAAATGTCAGACTGGTGGATGTTTGGTGCACCTGAAAAAACATGAAAGCAGGAAATTACACTGCTTGTAACAGGAATAAAGGTACAGCAGAAGAGCATTTCACCATTTTCCTTAAAAAGGACAGAGTTAGAAATTAAGAAAAAGTGATTTCTCCAGACCAACCTTCTCAATCTGTAAAACTGCAAGGGTAGAGAACCCTTCTGCGACCACCCGTGGATAACCATGTCTAAATTACACCTACAAGAAAAGAAAAGGGGCCAATACTACAGAATCTGTGTGCTGGAGACGACAGAGACCTCTCTGTATCTAATCTTCCACCCTCAGCAGGAATCTCCTCTGAAAACTTAGATAAACCTCTGATAAGTCCACAGACAGTTTCATCTTGAATACTGACCTTGGCAGGAATTTATTTCAGCAAAAGATAGCTTCATCTATTTTTATAATACTATAATTGCCAGAAAATTCTTTTCCTGGGTTGACTATTTTCTTGTTTCTCATTCTTACCCATAAACTCTAGTTCTCTCTCTGTAATTACACAGAACAATGACAATAATAGTTTATATTTCATCAGTGCTGGCTATTTGACACTATGTACATTATATGCATTATTGCCTTTAGTTCCCACAGCAACCTTAAAAATAGGTAGTTTTTTGTTTTTTTTTTTAATTATCCCTGCCTTATAGATGAAGAAATGGAAGGCAGAAGAGATTATGTAAAATACCCAAGTTGGTGAATGGGGACAGCCAATATTTGAGCCCAGGGTTTTTTTAGTTCCTGCTAAGCTGCCTCATGGGTCTGAGCCCATGCCTTCATAAGAGCCCTGTCAGTTTTGGAAGCCAGCTCCTCTATAAGAAGTACAGATTTCTGCCACTAAAATATTGTTGAATCTGCCTCTAGAAACTTCTCCTTGAAAAGTATGGTCAGATGACATAAAAGGATAGATTGTATGAACTGTTTTGTGCTTATTTACTGATAGATACTTGCTTATTAAATGTCTGATAGACATGTGGAAGAATTTGTTCTTCCTCAGGTTCTAAATTCAGTTTATAAATCCTGCTATTCAAGTTGTGCCTAGCAGTTTTAGCAGTTACTCTAAAGGCCTTTGAACAATATTTGATCCATTTAAAACTAGTTAATTAAATACTTTCACATATTTTACATTGCATATATAAATTTAATATATTTTATTTCCATGTAATTTGATTGCCTGATTGGCAGATTTTCCAGGTACTAATTATTTCATATAAGTCTAATAAATTGAGTTTATAAATATCATGAACCCTGAGTTAAGTGTTGAAATATTGTATTATATAGTTAGTAAGAATTCCACTGCAAACCAGACATCTGAATCAATTACTTAGACAATTTACATTGAAATTACAAAGCTGTCATTCAAATGCAATTCCCAAACATAAGTATGTAAAATATTGAATTTTAAATTTTCTTGATGCAAAAATATTAGTATTATTGGGTTTTAATTTTCTAAGATATTTCTCTACTCAGTTTTCAATTCTGAGACTGAAAGACGCTTACCTTTTAAGGAGGACAAGTAGCATCCTAGTTAACTAATAACTAGAGTGTCTAATCAAGACCTTGGTGAAATGCAGTGCACCTTTTTAATACTTGATTCCATAACTTTAAGACTGATGTGCCATGTATCTACATTTTTGGGTTCAAGTCACACACCTTACGTCTTTTTTCCTGAGTCTGCTCATAGAAATCTATTAACTGCCCATTCATGTGCCAAATGGACCTCATGGTTGATTCTTTGTCTCCCAACATCTATCTATATACAATCATCTCCCTGCCCAGGCTGAAAGACTTCTGACCAGACCAGATCCCTGCATTATTTTTCATTGACTTTCTAAAATTACAAATAATAAGATGAATTTTGAAGATGTAATTTGAAGTTGTAGGTGATATGAAAATTTTACTGACAATCTTATTTTAACATAACCTTAGGTTTTTATCTTGTCAAACTTAGGCTGAAATCATTTTGGATGCTAATTCTGCCATCTTGTCCAGTTTCACGTCATCCTTGAATGTGATAAACTTCTCCTTCTTATCTGAGATACTGATGAGAGTGTTGACTGGAATGGAACACTCATGCAACCTTGGGACATCTCTCTTCAGCTTGTCTCTGGTCTGTCAGTCAGCTTCCTTCAGAGATGCCATGCCTGTCTGCTCATGGGAATCATCTGGGGAGCTTACCAAAACCTGACTTCTGGAATTCATTCCAGGGCCTAAAGGGCCGTGGCACAGGCATCTCGGACATTTAACAGCTTCCTAGGGTACTCTTAAGCAGCTGTTTCAGCACTAGTCTAAGGATTAGCTTTTGCCACTGCTGCTGCTTTTTCCCTGACTTGATTACAAGGACAGAACTTAGACTTTGTCAAGTGCCTTGCTTAAGTCTAGCCTCACTAGGTCTAAAGCACCCCCATCTACCTGTAGGGGAATCATAGCCGTAAAAGGAAACCGTATCTTGTCATGACTTTTCCTTATGACATAGACTGGCTCAAACGTTTGCCTCACCTCATGCTCAGGAAAAATCCCCTGAGAAAGACGTTAAATGGACTAGTCTTCAGCATTTACCATAGTCTCCCTTTTAAACACTTAGGTCCTGTGCTTGCGTCGGCAGCACATATACTAAAATTGGAATGATACAGAGAAGATTAGCATGGCCCCTGCGCAAGAATGACATGTAAATTGGTGAAGCGTTCCATATTTTTCAGAATATTGGAAATAAAAGCAAAAATAAACAAATGGGACCTAATTAAACTTAAAAGCTTTTGCACAACAAAGGGAACTATAAGCAAGGTGAAAAGACAGCCCTCAGATTGGGAGAGAATAATAGCAAATGAAGAAACAGACAAAGGATTAATCTCAAAAATATACAAGCAACTCCTGCAGCTCAACTCCAGAAAAATAAAAGACCCAATCAAAAAATGGGCCAAAGAACTAAACAGACATTTCTCCAAAGAAGACATACAGATGGCTAACAAACACATGAAAAGATGCTCAACATCACTCATTATCAGAGAAATGCAAATCAAAACCTCAGTGAGGTACCATTACACGCCAGTCAGAATGGCTGCTATCCAAAAGTCTACAAGCAATAAATGCTGGAAAGGGTGTGGAGAAAAGGGAACCCTCTTACACTGTTGGTGGGAATGCAAACTAGTACAGCCACTATGGAGAACAATGTGGAGATTCCTTAAAAAACTGGAAATAGAACTGCCATATGACCCAGCAATCCCACTCCTGGGCATACACACTGAGGAAACCAGATCTGAAAGAGACACGTGCACCCCAATGTTCATCGCAGCACTGTTCATAATAGCCAGGACATGGAAGCAACCTAGATGCCCATCAGCAGACAAATGGATAAGGAAGCTGTGGTACATATACACCATGGAATATTACTCAGCCATTAAAAGGAATTCATTTGAATCAGTTCTAATGAGATGGATGAAACTGGAGCCCATTATACAGAGTGAAGTAAGCCAGAAAGATAAAGACCAATACAGCATACTAACACATATATATGGAATTTAAAAAGATGGTAACGATAACCCTATATGCAAAACAGAAAAAGAGACACAGATGTGCAGAACAGACTTTTAGACTCTGTGGGAGAAGGCAAGGGTGGGATGTTCTGAGAGAATAGCACTGAAACAAGTATACTATCAAGGGTGAAACAGATCACCAGCCCAGGTTGGACGCATGAGACAAGTGCTCAGGGCTGGTGCACTGGGAAGACCTACAGGGATGGGATGGAGAGGGATGGGTGGGAGAGGGGTTCGGGATGGGGAACACATGTAAATCCATGGCTGATTCATGTCAATGTATGACAAAAACCACTACAATACTGTAAAGTAATTAGCCTTCAGCTAATAAAAATAAATGGAAAAAAAATAAAGAGAAACAAAAGAGAAAATAAGTAAATAGACACTTAGGTCCTTCCCTCCCTCTATATCACCCCTCCCCCACTGAATCCTCCAGCTCTGACCTTGGTCTCCGTGGTTAGTTTCTCAATAATTATCTGTAATGAATCACTGACCCTATCGTCAGCTTTCTTTTATCCACGAATATAAAATTTGCAGGTCTGCAAAAACAAGCATAAACAAAATAGGTATATATTTAAAAAAATAAAACCATACCAAAATGAATTCCAGCATAAGGATGTGAAAAATAGGCTCTGGATCAATGACTCTAGTTGTCTTGACTACTTAAAAATAACTTGTCCAGTTTTTATCTGAATTGTACTTTGGCAAAATGATCTTTCTGTATTTAAGGTTGCTAATAACTTTGTTGCTGCTACCATTCTCTTTGTGTTCTTATTTTCTGGTATTCCCAAAAGCCTGACCCTTTCCCCCAGCTGCTACCTACCCCTCTCCACACCCAAGCCCTGCCCTGCCGCTGTCGACACTCACTATCCATTCTTTCTAGTTTAGAATAACACTCATAATAGAAATCCATTTTATCTTATGGAAAACACTGTCACAGAACATGATCTCCTGTATGAATATCCTTTCCAAATCCCCAGTTTGTATGGGCATCTGAGACTACCAGTCTGAGATGCATGACTCTAAATCTCCCTGGCCAACCACCTATCTTGAAAATCTCTACTTCCAACTGGGAAAAATATTTGCTAACATGTCTATGATAACCTCTTCATGGAGGGCTTTTTCTGCGTCCCTTTCCTGGTCCACCCTGGCCATAGTAGAACATCCTCCTGGCTCAGGGCTCCCTTCTCCCTACATCCCCTTTCTTCTCAAACTCCCTCACTTCAATCCATTTTCTGCTTTATCCAAAAGCTCAAACTTCTTTATTTTCCCTCACAAAAGGCTTTAATGGCCCAATCAGTGAGAGGCTTGACTCTTACCAATTAAACATGAGCCCAAATCTTCAAATACAAAAAAACTATCTTTACTTTCCCAGTAACGCAGTTTTCATCCTCAGAAACACAATTACTTGATCCACTGCCTGGGATGAACAGGGCACATTTGTGTTCCATCCTGGGAAAGGTTACTTTATGTCTTAGAATGTGCCAAGAAATTAAAAATGAGTGAGATTTTGTCCCCACAACATGTTTTTTCACATCCTGAATTTTATGTCAGCTCGCCTTTATAGGTGAGTATGCAGATAGGTGGTAAGAAGGTGAGTGGGCATGGTGGGGAGGTGCTGGGTCAGGGGAAGGAGAGGATATGGGCAGGAAGTGGGA